GTTTGATTTCATTTATATGAAGTTCAAAATGGACAAAACTATCTATGTTATTACAAGTCTGGATAGCCATTAATTTTGGAAAGTGAGTATGATACAGAGATGGGGTGGGGCACAATTAGATTTAGAGGTTGTGCAATACTAATAATGACCAATTTCTTGACCTGGGTGCTAGTAAAATAAACATGTTCACTTTATAATAATTCATTACATTGTGCAGCTATGATGTGTGCACGTTTCTGTATGTGTTATAACTCAATAAAAAAGAAAGAAATGAAGACCTAAGTGTGAGGTTTTTATAGTCAAAGATGTCCACCATGAGGGCCACTCTGTAAGCAAAAGGAGTGGTTTCTCTTGGTAATATTCTTGAGAATTATGTGGCCTCAGAAGTTCTCTAGTACAAAGAGATCTCAACTACTTAAAGGTAGTTACATAGAAATTACACATCATTTTTCACAAGAGAGAGATGAGACCTAAAAGCAAATAAAACATCAAATGATATATCACAGAAAGCTTTTCTTTAACAGAAAGCTTTTTGCACCATCATAAAGGCAAGGTGTGAAACCATAAAATGGATCGCATGGTAAGGACTCTTCTCCATGTCATTTTCTAATTATTTTAGAAATCAAGGGAACATTACCAATGGAACTCTTTACTTATCTAAGCAGAGCTGACAGTTCACAGGCTTAGCAAGACCTGAGAAAAACAAGCTTGTTATATAAAGATAAATTGTCTTCATTTTATGTAAACATCTCCAAAGTCCCTAAGTAATATTCAACTCAACAAGTATTTGAGTACCCAAACTATAACTAGCACTGTGTCTGGCACTGGGGAGAAAGACAAAAAAGAAGATAGACTTCTGAGGAACTCTAATATAAAGACACAAGATTTATTTAAAAGAACAAGAGCAAAGACAACTAGAAAATGATCTCAAGACAGGCTATGGTAGGTGGCTTCCAGGAATACAGTTAGTAAGATAGAAAATGGCATGGTACAATGAAACCAACTGATAAAAGTTTTTGAATGTCACACCAAAAATTCTTCATTTAAATCCTTTGAAGACTATTTCATCTGTATCCTACACATCAAAAATAATGTGTGGGTTCATTCAGTAGGCACACCTTGAATTATTCCTACTTATCTTCTTGATCAATCAGACTTAATATAGGTAAAGTCAAGTCTGCACATATTAATGGTCTAGTTATACCAAGAGATGTTTTTTGAGTTGTGAAGGTTAACTTCTATGATACCTTCTCAAATAATTATAGACACACCTCAAACATCCCCAACAGTCCTGAATAAATTCTTATTTACCTTACCTATGGTTTAGGATATCACTTGGAAAAATGCATTGAATGAAACACCACCTTCATTTGTCTCCCTCTCAAAGTAATTTTCCAAGGACTAAAAGATATCTAATACTTAGCTAGACTTGGTGGAGCACACTTGTAATCCCGTCTCTAAAAACATTTTTAAAAGGGTGGGGGAGTAGGGAACAGAGCTCACACAAAGGCCCTGTGTTCAATCCCCAGTACCACAAAAGAAAAAACCTAATACTTAACATTGTGTCTAACACAGCAAACTTCTTACTTATTAAATTGGATTATTAAATTACACCAACATATTAGCCACACTCATCTCTGTCATGGTTTGGAAGACTTTGATCATATTTGTTAGTCTCCCGACTGAAAAAACAACTAGAAAATCCCTCCATCCTTTCAGTCAATTTAATTGAGTTTCTGGGGACTTTTAGCAGTTGTTAGGTTTTTCTTGAGAAGCAGCCACCAGAATTTTCTGTCTGATTGTAAGTGAAATCCACTGTCAATCTTTTCAGAGGGCAAAGATAAGGATATTTTTTTATCGCTGTTACCAACACTCTTCCTGAGGCTGCCCACCATGTTCTTGACCTGGGAGAAGTACAATCACAGCTGGACCAATTTCTCTATAGAACGATTCACAGTGATTTTTAATTTTATTTTATACACTGTTTATTGTCAAATTTAGAGACTAATAAGATGTCTGTAGCCCTTAAGAGCACCTTCACCAAGCATCCAGATAAATCTATAGCTATTTAGCTGCTCCAATTGAAGACAGTTGTGATTTCAGAAAGTCTGATGTGACTCACTTTTTATCATCAGCAACTGTGTCCCCACTTGCAGGACTTTTCTAACATTTCCCTTGTAAAACTTACTGATATCTTTACTTTGTATCTTCATTGCTCTAACTTCCTTCTGTATCCTGTTTTAAGTTTTTATATTTAGGTATGACATACACACGTAACAGTGATTCCTAAGTTGCCTTCTCGAATCATAACAGACCCTCATCCCATCATCTCATAAATGTGGATAGGTATACTTTTGCCTAACTGCATGACTTTATACAATGAAGTGACTCTGACTACACTGCTTACTAGGTCTCATCAGATCTTCCTACGATTTGTGCTCATCAACTTGCCTTCATTCCTTGCAGATAAAACTAGTGAGCAACCTGAACGTATTGCCCATTGGAAGGTGCATATTTCATCTTTCTTCCTCTCTATCCAAGAGTTACTCCAACAGCAGCTGTTTGTGTTGAAAAACTAAAATATAAAAATATGACCTATGTGGTCCAATTCCACAAGGGTGTTTACTTCCTTATTTATGAATCAGAATCTGTCAGCACAATTTAGAATTTTGACTCTCAGCAAATACTGGAATTAAATGTCCCTACAAAGCCAGCAGAGGGTGCACCAGGGCACTAGAAATTTTACCCAAGATGTAGCAGTATTAATTTAACTCTAATAGCCAATCAACTTTTTCTTTATTTACTTATTCAGTACAGTACTTATTTATTATACACCAAAACTAGTATCTTCAACAGAACCGTCAGTTGAATCTGGGCTTATACTGCAAGTCTTCTGAAAGTGAAGCTCAGGATGACTAAGGAATATAGGGTTAACATTTAGTTTGGTCAAACTATAGGTAGAGTAGAACAAAATGACATAGATCTGAGTCCTCTACTTTGTAAAAGTTCTACCCTGTCCCCTCCTCTGCAAGAAAAAAAAAGTCTTAGTAGGTAATATGCTGCAGGGGAATGGACACTGAACTGGGAATTAAAAGAATAACTTCATCCTAGCTTCAACCCTGTTATCTTAGGGAAGTCACTTCCCCTACAAGGTCCATGCATTTTCCAAGGAAACCAAACAAAATGGATTCAGATGACCCTTTACAACTCTTTAAAAAAAATTCATATTCAAAGTGCAGGTCAAGAAATGTATACAGCCAGTATTTGTGCTTCCACTGCTCATAAAGAGTAAAACAAAGAATAAAGAACAAAAGATAGGAAGGTGTGTTTAAACCTAGATAAAAGTATTTTAGCGCTACACAAAGGGCAGGTGACTGCACACCTTTAAAGACCTGTGAAAGTCCCATACCATTACGGAAGTCCAAGAGTACAGCTGTCCTGCTAATCCTCAGTCCATAAACATGTCTCTGTCCATTCTGAATGCCATCATTTGATTAAGCAAGTTAAATCGTTTCATCCTTTCACAGAATATCAATATTCAGCTGCTAAGTATTTCTAGTGGGCATTGGGGGGGGTAAATAAATAAGGGAACCAAAATCATAGTTAATTATCATTTAGCTACAGTGTTTAAAGTTTCAAGTATGAGAAGTATGTCTGCTGATTTTCTTCTTTGACAAGCTGTTGTATAAGTTGGAGTGTGCTAGCAAGACATCTTAAGGCTCAGGGCAACTTTATCATGCATGTTGTAAAAAAGAAAATAATCAGTCCCAACATGACAGAACTATCCATGAATGTAATGCCTCTATCCAGTGTCTAACTTTGGATGGAGTGATACTTTGGAGGTCACAGTAGCACAACTAAAGTTCAAAGAGTTACGACAATGACTCTGGATGTGGGAATAAATATAAAAATCTTAGGTCCCTCACCTCAAGAAACTCACTTGCACAACTTGCCCTCTTCTCCAAGAGGTGCAAATTCACTAATATCCTCCTTCAACCACCTCAAAAGTTCTTTGGATGATTCTAAGTTTCACATATAAGACAAAATATGGCAATCAGGTCAAAACTTTCCCTAAGCACACTAAATTCATTTGAATAAAGAGCTAGGAAAAAGTAGAAAACAAACACCAAAACAAATAGTTTGCTAATTAGGGTACAGACACCCCTTAGATTACAAAAATCTCTTGTGAGACTTTTCCTGAGTAATTATTGCATTGATAGAGTTTGCTTCTTCAGCTAGAACTAATGAAAACATTTCATACTTTACCACGGAAAACCCTCCAGTAGAACCGAAATGCAAAGGGTTTTATTTCCATAATTTTTTTTTAATTGCTCTTCAGAAGTTGTCTGGCAAGACAGCATATTTCTATACCAAAATCCCTCAGGGGCGCTGATCTTCACTAGAACACCAAAGACAATCCGTCTCAAGTTGCAGGTTAAGTGTGAACAAGCCGATGTAGTGGTCAGCGCGCAAGGACCCCCGTGTTGAAAGTACGGTGAAAAGTTGTTGGAACGGGTTTGGAGCAGTTATTATAGCTGTTTACAGCTCAGACTCCAAAGGACAGCCTGCTACTGCTGGCATCAGCTCTGGACACGAAAAAACAAGCACCGCGGGCAGAGAACCTCAGCAGGACCAGAAGGGCCAAAGTGCTCCCCGTTAGTCTTCCAGGGGGGCACCGCGGGCACCTCCTCAACGGGCTTGGGCGGGAGCGTCGCCAACTTTTCCAGAGGCACCACACAGCCAGCGGCGGCGGGAGTAGGCTACAGTTTCCAAGTCAAGCAGACCTGAAAGCGTCTGGGCGAGCCAAGCCAGGGACTGAGGACAACCTGTCCTGGACAACTTCCTCCTGCTTGCTTGCCCCCTCCCTGGCCGTGCACTCTAACTCGGCTCCAAGTGGCAGAGAAGCCCCGGGCCCTGAAGTCGAGGGTCCCCGCCCGACCCACCTACCCACCGGGGTAGGGGGCCTCGGCCGACGCCGCCACCCCTACTAGGTGACTCACCTGGTGCAGGTCCTGAGAGTCAGGGGGGAGTGTGGTTTCTCCCCGTTCCAACGGCTGCCGCTGCGGCGACGGCTGCCCAATGTGGAGAGTGATGGGACCGTCAGGTTCGAGGCCACTGGGGTTGCTCAGGGTGCCAGAGGTACCATGAGTGCCCGGGCCGCCAAGGCGGGACTCAGTTCCCCGCTCCCGCCGCAACTCGGACCTCAATTCTAGGTAGCAGCACAACGTCAGCAGGTGGAGGGCCAGCGAGAGGCCAAAGAAACCCAGGAAGAGCCGGCAGCTGTTCCCTTCGCCCGCCCGGGCAGGGGCCCCGCGACAGCCGCAGCCCTGGCTCCCTCGCTCCCCTGGCGCTGCTGCAGGCAGGGGTTCCCTGCGCTCTACCTCCGGGTAGCCCATGGCCTCCGGAGACACCCAATCTCTCAGGCCCGGGAGCCGCTGCGTCTGCCTCAGCCGTTCACGACCCCTGACAGGCGGCTACAGTTCTGCCATCGGCTGGGGGCTGCAGGGACCGGTTCCTGCGCGACGGTGTCTGGGCGGGACGGAACAGGGAGCAGCCGCATGTGCAGCTCCACTCCGAGGGGTGGGCAAGGGAGGAGGAGGGGCAGGAGAGAGGGGCAGCTCGGCCCGCGAGGGAATGAGGGAGGAGGTCCCGGCCGACCCCGCCCCACCCCTCCAGGGGCTTCAGGGACGCCCAACCACTGGGCCGCCAAGCCTCGGCGCCCCGCCCCCTGCCGTTCGGCCCGGGCCTCCGGCCGCGGGGCGGGGCCTGGGGGCGTGAGGGTTCGTCTCCGCCTGGCAGCCCCACCCAGCTCTTCCCGTTTGCCCAGTTCTAGTTGGTGTCTGCCGGTGTCGTTCATCTCCGGACTCCGCCCCAGTTTAACCCTTCTGTGCCAGTACGGGGGAGGGAAGGAGGGGGAGGCTAAGAAGAATTTGGGAACCTTGGAAAGAAAGTGAAGCAAAGAAAAGGAGGCAGAAACTAGCATTAATAGAAATGTTTGCAATTAACTGCAGTTGTTAATAACATCATCCAGTACTTATCTGTTGCTTTCAATCTTCAAAGCATTTAGCAGACGTTAAACTAATTAAAACAGTTCTGGGTTTGGAATGAAACCATGCCTGCTGTGTTTGCAATCCAATGGCTCGCCAAAAGAAAAGGAGACCTAGGATCCTGGGAGCCAACGGGACTGGGAATCAGTCAGCCTCAGTCCGGGAGTGAGTCTGGGGGCACAATGCAGACGGCGACCCCTGCCAAGTGGAACTGAAGTGATGTTGCCCCTTGAAGGTAAACAATCTTCTAGGGTTTTTTGACATATTAATTAATTCAACAGATATGTATTGATCCGTTTTACAATGCAGAAAGTGATGTATGAGAAAGTAGTTTGTCTTCTTCCGCTGCTACCAGGGTTTTCGGTGGAGAATGTGTGCCTTGCGGTAGCAAATGGGGAAATCGAGGGCCGCAGTGAGGTGCATTTTTACATAGGTGCTCCACGGAATAGCCAGACACTACTGGCATCTCCGTTTGCAGTCAACTGTTCTGGCCTCTCTACCCCTCCCATCCTTCCCCTGGAGTATTCCCTGGGGGAAGTTCAACAAGTCAGCCAAATGTTCCAGATGTACACTGCCGCAACTGCAGCAACTTCAACAGCTGCACCAATCAGAAACGGGTTCAGGGCAAAAAAATGAGTGGCAAATGTCAGAACAATAGATCCTAAAATGAAGGATGGAAAGAACTAGTTAAGTCAAGTCACACTTGATGGGAGTTACTAGTCTCACTCTGTAGAGAGCAAAATAACTGTAGCAGGAGTTAATAACTGCACCATTTTTAGCCACCACACTCTCATTCCCCTGTTTTGGGGAAATTAACAATTTTATTGACTTGAACCAGGCATCTTGAGTGACACCAAGGAGGCTCAGTGATACCCTGGAACATTTATGGGCAGGCCTAAGCCTGAGGCTGGTGAGACAAGAAAAACACCAAGGGAAATAGAAAAAAAAAAAAAAAGAAGAAGAAGAAGAGAAACAAAACAAAACTAAAAGCATATGGTGGGAGGTCAGTCCAGAAAGCACAGAGGTCGAGAGCCTTAAATATATTAGCCACAGACAACCTTTCTTCCATAACTTTTGGGAACTGTCTCAGTGCTTCAAAAACATATTTTTGTCCTCTCTTTAACCTTTACCAATGACATAGAAAATTTGCAAAGAATATCATCATCATACAGATGGGAGGGGCGTTTAACAGCTGCTCTCAAGTCCTGCTCATCCAGACCAGGAATTCTAGATGCTAGGAAAACTGCCAGGCTGATTTACTTAATTATCACAGCTCGGGATTATTGGAAAGAATGCTAGACCAGGAGTCAGAAGACCTGACTGCCACTAGTTTACTGGGTCACCCTTAGCAAGTCTCTTTCTTTTTCTTTTTCTTTCTTTCTTTCTTTCTTTCTTTCTTCTTTCTTTCATTCTCTCTCTCTTTCTCTCTCTCTCTCTCTCTCTCTCTCTCTCTCTCTCTCTCTCTCTCTCTCTCTCTCCTTCTTTCTTTCTTTCTTTCTTTCTTT